CACTTTCTAAAACTATTATCTGTCCAACTAAATAAGATGACCGTATTAGTGATCAATATTCTAAATTTTTACTGAATATATGCACAGTATATATAGCGTAAAATATAAACATTTTTAAAATAATTTTTAATAACATCTAAAAATTTCATTGATTTATTTTTGATAATTTTATATTATTATTGTATGTTAATTTGCAATCAAAAATAACACCTAAATCTTTTACTTCATTTAATTTTTCAAACTATAATCCTCTATAATATAATTAAACAGAATATTGGTATGTGTGCGGTTATTTGAAATAAATTTATATTAAGAAATAAATAGTTTAATTATACTCCAATTAGAAAGGTAATATATATCCTGTTGTAAAATAACACAATGTTTATAAGAATATTATCTACAGAACACAATGTATCTGGTAGTTCAGTGACATTAAAAATGATAGTACTATTGGCTTTTGATGGCTGTTCTGAAACGTAAAACCTGTTACATTCCGATAGTTCTGAATCAACAATTAATCTCACAGAGAGAATCTGCTAGATATCTGGGAAAGAACGTTGACTGTCGCCTCCACTTGAAACATCATGTACGCCATAAACGACTGCAAAGAAATGATAAAATGCGCGGACTCTATTGATTAGTTGGTAAACATTCTAAGCTATCACTAGAGAATAAACGTTTGTTATACCTGTAAAAACAGTTTAAACTTATGGGGTTGTGTTTGTTAGTTCAACATAGAGATTAATCAACGTTGTCAAATATCGCAATTCGCACAATCGACGCGTCTTACAGATTCGACAGAAATGATGTAATATATTGTGATATGATGTTGCCAACCGTTGCAGACGAAGTCACTCGGTTTGTACGTAAGCATATAACAAGGTTGGAAAACCATGAACATATAGTGGCAATTCAATTATTGGACAATTACAATGACCTAAGACGTTTAAAACGCGTGAAGCCATATGACTTGGTTTAAATTGATAAATACTTATTTCACAATTTAAATATTATTTATTATTATTAGACTAAGTTAGGGACCACTTCAATGGAAGTGTAAATCACATTCAAGTTATTCAAGTATTAGTATTAAGATTTATGTTTGTCTCAAAAAAAAGTACATTAGTATAATAAAAAATAAAATAAAATGAATAAAATTTTATCTTAATAACACATAAGTATAAAGTTTTCATTAATAATTCGCTACTTCGTATCAATAAATTTTATATTATTAATCTTAATATAGTCAAATTTTTTATACGTGTATGAATGGTTTGTTTAAAAGTAATACTTATATTTATATGTATAATTTATTATATACTTAAGAAATGTTCTTTTTAAATTTAAAAATATTAATAGAAAATGATTTCATAATTGTTTATATTNAAAAAAAAAATCTAAGATAGCTATTTTGTAGAGTAGAATTTAAGAAAAATTTTAGTAAAAAAATATCTTATTAATATTCAGCAGTAAATGTAGCGTTTTGAAGTTTGTGAAAATTTGAATTTTCATGTACTATTTTACGGTATTAAACATTGAAATACGTATTGAGAAAAGGACAGAAGAAAACGCTATCTTTTCAATATACTTTTGAATGAGAGTGATAAGTAATAATTGCCTTATCTAATTTCTTATCATGGTATTAATGCCAAGTTTGTAATGTATACACATTATCATCATATGTATACACAGTAATCATGAAAAGATAGCGTTTTCTTCTGTCCTTTTCTCAATACGTATTTCAATGTTTAATACCGTAAAATAATACATGAAAATTCAAATTTTCACAAACTTCAAAACGCTACAGAATATTTACTACTGAATATTAATAAGATATTTTTTTACTAAAATTTTTCTTAAATTCTACTCTACAAAATAGCTATCTTAGATTTTTTTTTTACTTTTTATTTAAAATTTAAAAATAATTAATATTTTTAATAAAATGTAAAAAAATTAATTATTGAGATATAGCTATAGACCTAACGTATAACTATTCTTTAAAAAAAAAATATTAACTGGATCAAAAGTTATTTAAGTTGTCAGTGAGTGGTGGGCCACTCTGTATATAAAAACATAAATGATCTTATAATTGTTTAGAAAACCAATGTAGGGCAATATGACGATTTAAAAAAAATATAGTAACAATTTTGAACTAGTTTTTTAAAATATATTAACCATAAATGTCAAATTTTTCGAAAATAATTTAAATGAACACATATGTTTGTTTTAAATTATAATTATAATTTTTTTTGTAAGAACATTATAATGTTTTTCAACGTAAGGCTTTAACTTGAAAGTAAAGAAGTAAATGGATTTTAAATTGCAATATATAAAACATCAAGAATTAAAAATATTTGAAGTTTCAAGTCTAATTCAAATTTGGGCATTACTATAAAGCATTTTTGATTTAGGCGAAGTTGATTTTTTCCATTGAAAAAAAAAAAACTAATACACCTTAGGGATCAATTGCTCCTTTTATATAATTTCAACATCACTTTTATTTTATTTTAACTTCTTGGTAGACCATATAAAAATTATACAGGGTGTTCAGTAAGTCAGGAAACGGATTTCTATTGTTCTCATTGTTTGTAACAATGAGAACAATAGAAACCCGTTTCCTGACTTACTGAACATCCTGTATAAGATATCCTATATTTCTTAAGGAGATGAGAAGTTTCTTAACTCATATTTTAATTTTTGGAATCGTAAAAATAAAAATTCCAAGTTTATTCTATCACAAATTTTAAAATCCCACAAAACATTTACTACTGAATATTAATAAGATATTTGCTAAAAAAAAATGCTGCAACACCTGTATAACTAGATGATTATTTGTAAATCTAATCTTACGTAATTCCTGTGTTCAAAAAAATTTTGACTTGTAGAAAAATAATGTAAAATAAAATTTACCTTCAATAAATATTATAAAGGATATTATCAACAAAAAATTGATCAATCGCCAATTCTAGAATAAAATAATAAACTTTTAGATTTCAAATAAGCATAACGCGCAAAGTTTGTTACTCACTTCCATGATTAGTCTAAGTGTAGTGTAAATAATAGTATGTTATNCAAAAGTTATTTAAGTTGTCAGTGAGTGGTGGGCCACCCTGTATAACTACAAAAATATTAACTATACTTATAATAAGTTTGATATAAATTATTGATATTCGATATTTGTAATAATCGAGATGTTTTAACGAAGACGTTTCTTATTAATTGAATGATGGTTTCAAAACCAGCTTGAATAATTGATTTTTTTTTAATTATCTGATTTTTTATATATAACTGCAAATGAAGTGTTTTTATTGTTTTATTACCTTCTTCTTGATATGTCATTTATGATATATATTTAATTAATCCACAAATTTCATAAAATTAAACATTATCTACAGATTTTCATCGGATACGTTTCTTATGATAGCGATTTTAATCATTCCGCGATCCTATTGGGCTAGGTTTTCTATATATATATATATATAAATATAAAAATTTTTGGGCCTGTCACTACTTTTTCTCATCTCTCACTGGACTTTTTTTTATATTTAATTTATATCCACACCTTTCATACGACATACTTTGTTTTTAATCGAACCTTATTTTATTTATACCGTGGGAATTTAAAACTTAAAAACGTGTATAAAAATTACAACTTTTTCAACTTAATATTTGAAAATAATTCGAGAATACTAAAATTTATAAATATTTTAAATTAAAACTTATGTAATATACTTTAATATGAAAAAAACTGTTGGATTTTAGATTATTTTAAGGTTTTGGTATTTGGGCGGTTAAAATGTTTATAAAAAATTAATTTTTTTAAATAAAAACCTGAACATTTTTAAATGTTTAATTTCGAAATATCGATAACATTTGTAGCTTCTCACATTAATTCACTTAATATATCATATATTGTATAAGTATGAGCATACTTCTTCTTCTTCCTCGCCTTAATCACAACTACTTGGAGTCAGCCACTCTAATCCTAAACTTCCACTTGACACAATTTTTCACATCATTTACGCTCACATCATATAACCTCATATCGAATTCAATAACATCTCTCCATCTCTTTTTTGGTTTTCCTCTACCTCTCCTTCCTTCAACATACATTTCTACAGCTGTTCTTACAGCTTCCGACCATTCTCTTCTCATAACATGACTAAACCATCTAAGTCTATTTTCTCTCATCTTATCCACGATTGATATTACACTTATACTCCCTCTTATATGCTCATTTCTTATCCTATCTTCTCTAGTCACTCCACTCATCCATCTAAGCATTCTCATTTCTTCTACACTCATTGTCTTCTCTACTTTCTTATCAACCAACCAACACTCTGAACCATACATCATACCTGGTCTCACTACAGTCTTGTAGAATTTAACATTCAGCCTCATTGGAATTCTTTTATCGCATAAGACATCAGACGCTTCTCTCCATTTCAACCACCCCAACTTAATCCTGTGTCTTACATCCTCGTCAATACCACCGCTCATTTGTAAAACTGATCTTAAATACTTAAAACTTTCCACCTCTCCAATCACGTCCTCACCTATTGTCACTGGTCTCCTTATTTCACCTACCTTGTATTTTCCTTTATCAAACTCGTAATCTATATACTTTGTCTTACTCCTACTTATTATTAAAAACTTCTCTTCAAGAGCTGATCTCCACATCTCTAACCTTTGATTAATTTTGTCCAATGTACACTATATCGTCAGCAAACAACATGCACCATGGCACCTCTCCTTGTATTTCTCTAGTAATTTCATCCATCACTACAGAAAATAAGTAAGGGCTTAAAACAAAACTGCTCCCACACTTTTTACCCTAGTACAAGTGCCATCATATCCTCTATTATATTAATGTACCTTTTCGGGACTCCTATTCTCCTATTAGTAATAACTAATACAGTCATTGTGTATACACATATGTTCGTTGTGTTCGCTCTCTTATCTCGTTCTGATAGTTTGTAATCGATTTCCGATCTTTTATAATGGCTTCATGTGTTATTTGTTCACTAATCTTGAAACGTGGTCAAACCGATTGTATTACATGCACTACATGTAATAGCCTATTCCATCAAAAATGCGTTTCACTTAAGCAAGAAGAAGTTGATCAACTAAAAAATGGTAAAAAAATCTGGTCTTGTAAAAGCTGTGTAGGAAAACCTAAGAGCCCTATACTAACTACACCTCAACCAGTCTCTCCTTCCCTTACTTCTACAAACTCAACTAATATTAATTTAATTTTAACAAAAATTGAATCACTCTCTTCTGGACAATCTAAACTTATCGACCTCGTTAACAAACAAAATGAGAAATTAGACTCTTTTGAAAAAAAATTATCTGAATTATCTTTACAACTTATCTCTATCAAAGAAGAAAATAATCTACTTCGAAATAATTTAAACACTCTAACGAAACGGATTGAAATTCTTGAAATAAATCGTACTACTCTTAATGATGACATTTTTTCCGATTTTATTGATCGCCAGGCACGTTCAAAAAACATTATTTTGTTCAATGTACCTGAAATACCAGACAATACTAATAACTCAGATACATCAACTGTAAATCTTATCCTTCAAAATCTAAATCTTAACATAAAACCAGTTACAGTCCATAGACTTGGAAAGTCGAACGTAAAAACTCGTCCCCTTAAAGCCACATTCAATACGGCTTCAGATGTTTTTAAAATTCTGGGTTCATCTCGTCATTTAAAATCTAATCAGACTTTCAATGAAGTAAGAATCACAAGTGACAAAACTCCAAAGCAGCGTGAATACTTTCAAAACCTACGTACAGAATTAAACACTCGTCGCTCAAATGGTGAATCCAACTTATCAATAAAATATCACAAGGGCATTCCATCAATAGTCTCTTCTACCAATCAAAAAAACTCATAAAAACAGCCGGGTTACAATTATACTATCAAAATGTTAGAAGTCTCATGTCAAAACTTAACACTCTTATACCATCGCTAAGTACGTCTTTTTTTGATATTATTGCTTTATCTGAAACCTGGCTTTCCCCATCTATATCTAATTTCGAATTAAGTTTTCATAATTATACAATTTACCGCTGTGACAGATCACCTCTGAATAGTATTCATACTCGAGGTGGGGGTGTCCTCATCGCTGTTAAATCTCTTTTAAAAAGTAAAATACTAAATGTCAGTGTTAAAAATGTTGAACATATTTTTGTTCAACTTTATTTAGGACCTAATATTTTTATACTTTGTTGTGTCTATATTCCACCTCTTTCGCCTATAACTACTTATGAAAATTATTTTTTGGCTCTTAATGAACTACATCTCGCAAACCCTGAAGCTAATTTTATTATTTTAGGTGATTTTAACCTGCCCTCACTAGACTGGTCTCTTTATTCTATCCCACTCAACTGCCATTCCCAGATTAACTCTTATTTCACAAGTATGCTATCGCAGTTTAATTTGTATCAATTTAACTTGATACGTAACCACAGTAATGTTATTTTAGATTTAGCCTTATCTAATGTTCACATTGATGTCTCTAACGACCCGGACCCACTAATACCAATCGATAAGCACCACCCAGCATTGAATATCATACTAAATTATAATCAGTTCAATATGTTGCCTGTCCACAATTTTATTTATGACTTCGCTAACTGTAATTACGAAGAAATTGTAAAATTTATTGGTAACTCTCTATCTACCGTCGATTTTAACACCTATGATAATGTAGACGAACTAGTCGATAAATTTTACTCTATTCTTTACGACGCGATTAATAATTTTGTCGTCCGAAAACGAATCTATAAGAATCATTTCCCCACTTGGTTTTCAACTACTTTAAATTCATTAATGATCGTAAAAACAATAAGACTCTACCGAACCTACTAACTTTAGATTCAAAATCCGCCGATAATGGTACCGATATTGTAAATCTCTTCGCGAGCTACTTTTCAAACGCC